GGGGGCCGGGGCGGGGCTCCGGGCTCGCCCCGCCTGCGCTGCCTCCGCGGCTCTCCCGGCCCAGCAGTCTGGCTGCGGCGGCCGAGCCTAGCCGAGCTGAACCACCAGGCACGTAGGACCGGGGCCGGGATGGAGAGGCGCGCAGCGGGCGGGAGCTGCGAGGTGGGGTTGGGGGCTCTACGGCCACAGGCGTCCCGGAACTAGGGGCTGCGTCGCGGCCCATCCTCCCTCCGGAGGACACCACCTCTGCGCGCCCAGGACTGCGGAACTAGACGGGCGGTGCCCGGAGTGTGGGCAGGAAAGGCTGCTGGGGAGGCGCGGCTGACAGCGGGGTGCCGGCCGGGGGGCGCTGGAGCAGAGGTGCGGGTGGAGGAGCCTGGGGAGGCGGGGCGGGGTGGCCCCCAGCTCGGTGCCCGCTGTCTCCTCCCCAGCCCTTGACCCCAGGGCGGAGGCACAGAGTCCACATTATGCCCCCACTCTACCCGGCCCTGCCAGGACAGAGCCCTATTCACCTCTCGGACGCCAGCGCCCTTGGGGACCCGGAGCTGAAGAGCGGTCACGCGTGGGTGTGCGTGTGCTCCGGCAGCGCCCGCGGTGCGGGTGTGCGGGAGGCTCTGGGCGGGGGCTGGAGGGGAGGCCCGAGCTCCCGCGGCCCACGCCGCTGCGGCTCCAGATATTTATAGGCCTTCACTGCAGAGCTCAAGGTGGGACTGCGCGGGGCCGGGGGTGGGGAAGGACGGTGGAGAGTCCTAGAGGCTGAGACAGCTTGGAGGTAGAGCGCCAGTGTCCAGGGGATGGGGCCGGGACCCTTCCCTGATGCCGGGGTGAGGGTAGGGAGTGCGGTCAGTGCTTCCTGATGGTCGGGCTTGCCTGCCGGTCTGAGGTTTACAGGGGACGTCCAGGTTTGGGACGGAGTCGGGGTGGGGGGGAGGGCGGGGAGGGGGGGCGGTTGGTGTCTGAGTGATGGGTGAGCCCCCAGGCTGACAGTGTGGAGGGGCCAGTGTCCTGGTGATAGACAAGGGAGTGAGGTCAGTGCTGGGGGGAGGGGTGTCTTTGTGCGGGTGTCCGGGGGTGAGCTGGAGGGAGTGAGGCCAGTTGTGGGCGGGAGCAGAGTTGTCAATGTCTGGGTTGGGGGGATCAGTATGTGGATGAAGTGGGACACAGGAGGGGAGTGGGTGTCAGTGTCTAGGTGATTAGGGTGGAAAGGGTGCGGTCAATGTCTAGATCAAGGAAGTATCTTGTTGGTGTGCAGTATCCCCCTAAACACAGAGGTGTGACCCCCTCCTGCTCCCTCTCCAGGAGGCCATGTCAGGCGAGGACCACGAGGGGCGGCCAGTGGCTGAAGATGCCAGCGGCTCGCCCAGCCCTGGGGACACACTGCCCTGGAACCTGGGGAAAACACAGAGGAGCCGGCGAAGTGGAGGGGGCTCCGGGGGCAACGGGAGTGTCTTGGACCCTGCCGAGCGGGCAGTCATCCGCATTGCAGGTAACGCTGAAGGGCCTTGTCTGCCCAGTTTGGACATCAGCACTCGCTTGTTGGCTGAGCACTTGCTGTCGGTTACCTGCGGGTGTTAGGACCGGGATGGGAGGCTGACGGGCTGGTCCCCGGCGGACTCCTCTGTGGCAGGTGATTGCAGGCCCCACAGCGCCACCTGCTGGCCCCCTCTTGTCGGCTGCAGGAGGCCTAAGGTTGAGGCCTGAGGTTGCGGCCCCGGCCGCGGCACCATCTTCGGCTCATGACAAGGAGCGCGTGCCCAGGTGCCATGATACTTTCTTGGGCTTCTGGGGCAGAGCCGCCTTCCAGGCCCCTTGCTCTTGGCTGCCACCAGTAGCAGTGTGGGGAAGCACACAGGAGCGGGAGAGGAGGGGCCACCTGGTTGGCTAGGGCTGCAGCACCTCCATGAGCCAGGTCCTGCCTTGGCCTCCAGCAGCTGCCCATCTGTGGAGGAGGATGGGAGAGGCCCAGCCAGAGGCCCCTGAGAGTGTAGGGTGGGGCAGCCGGAGAGTGGGCCCCCCCCGGGAAGTGGGTGACCCAGGCTGGAGGCCATCAGGCCGGCTGTGCTGGGAAAGGGAGGAGCCAGCTGAGGGTCCTCGGCCCAGGCTGCAGAGTGCTGACCCCACCCCCCCGAGGACAGAATGAGGGTGCAGCGTGTGGAGGGCAGGGCTGCGCCGGCAGGTGGCTGGGAGCGCACACTGAGGCAGGTGGGCAGAGGCCTGAAAGGCCAGCTGCTGACGGAGGACAGGACTGCGGGCAGCGAGGGGCTCTGTGGGTGGGAGGACCAGCAACAGCTCCAGGAAACGCAGAGGCTCAGGACAGCTTGAGGGGTGTGTGGGTGTATCACATGTGGATTTTAAAGGAGGATTTTTACCCACGTGAAAGCGAATCATGAGTGTCTTTCCGCCCCCCCCCGGACCTTCTTCAGCGTCAGCCCCTGCCGGGGGGTGGTGGCCTTCAGCTCTCCCTGCCGGGAGCTCTGCTGCAGCCAGGGCCCCAGCCTGATGACCTCAGGACTGATCCCTAGCAGTGGGGCTTGTGGTCACAGCATCTGCAGCAGTTAAGGTTAGAGACGGACACTGTCCCCGCGCTCCAGAAAGGAGGGCGTCTGCCGGCCTGGGACACAGGGTCTTCGCCCATTTCATGGGTGGGAAAGAATTTGTCTTTTAGTTTTACCAAACCTTTTTTTTTCTTTTTGCTGCACATTGCCTATTTTAGTCCTTTTATACTTACTTAAATTTTTTGTGATTTGAGGGCTCTTTTTATATCGAAGGTAGCAACTCTCACCTCCAGCCTCGCAGTGGGAGGATTCTCAGTAGCGGCGGAGGGAGGAGGGAAGGGGCGCGCCTGAGGGCGGCCAGGTGAGGTCGCCGGAGAGGTCGGGGCCGGCGAGGGAGGGGCCGCTAGGGACTGGG